TCTTATGACTATTGATTATATTTTGTACACTACATAACTGTTACAACCCAAACAATAATAGTACCTATTGATAATTTTAATATTCAGAGTGATTTCATCATTAAACCGATTAAGTGCATGGAAGATTTCAACACACTCCGCACTTCAAATCCACCCTTGCATGTCGCTTTGTTAATTTTCATTGCCAAGTTGTAGGTATTACGTTTTAAGCGAATTTATGGAATAATCACCTCCTCATTTACAACATAACCGATGTAATATCTATGTATAGTACATTCTTTAAATGAACAACCAATTTGAGCAGTTTACCATTGTAAAGATTTGGAGTGAAGCGAAGAAGCAGCGAAACGAACTAAATGTTCATTATCAGCTATAAAAGTCTACCGCTGAACATTGATTTCCTCCATATATGTCCTCACAGGGGAAAGTTTCTTATAAAATTAATTGGACGATTTATTCAAAAATTCTGCAATCGTAGTGAAAAATTAATGCGATGAATTCTGCCCCTTACTAAAAACAAACCCCTTTCAGAAATACGAAGATGAACATAGGTATCTGCTATAGATATCGTCATAGGGGGATATTTGCCATTGTTGCCACGCGTGGCAAGCGAGTTCGGATCCGCATTTTTTAATTTATCGTTATTAGATAGACGCTGCTGCCCATCTCCATCCGTTTGTTTCCATGTCACTGAAGTTAGCCCCCCCTAAAATTTTTATTATTTAATTTTCAAATTTCGTTATCACATATCGTTAGTTCGTGGTTTGTTATTGATTGTTCTCTATTAATAATAGTTTTATACAGAGTGGCTAGTAGATGATAATTTTTTTTTATAATTACCTCTGAAGTCGTAAGACTGTTTTACTTTCGTAGATCTTTGGATTACACTTGGTATAACAAGATCTTGATCAATATCTGCTTTAGCTATAGAAGTTGGATATTCAGATGAATGATTTTCTGAAAAATAGAAAAGGTCGGTGCATAAGTATCTTACCGATTTAGAAAAAAATCGTCAAGTGTGCGTTAAAAACCCAAGCACTGAGACAACAAAAAGTGATCCCTTAAACGGATGATAGATATTTTATTATTTATATTAATAATAAAACATGACTGCGTAGTGGTGGTATTAGAATATCTAATAACACATAATATTGCCCCAAGGGTGTTGTAAAAAGCGACACGTAACAACAAACCATCAGATAGGCAGCAGCATATTTCCAATAACAACAAGAAATATAAAATTTTGGCAAATATCTTCGCTATGAAACAATCTGAGCCCTATTTTTAACAGTGTATTATTTACAAGCTGTGATGGTAATAAACATATTAATATTCCAAGGTAGTAAATGTGTTACAGACTTGATGCTGCTATAAGAGGTGTTTACATATGTATGTGCCCTAGACTGTCCGCAATTGACACCGCAGCTTCTGAGTTTTCGTACATCGAAATTGCATCCTTGTTCAGCACCATGAACGAAAACTTACCCGTAGAAAAGTAGTTCTTACTGTTTGGTGGTCAGATTTGCCCCACCCCGTTGGGGGTGGTTTTCGCCCTCCTCTTCTCGGGTTGTGTCCGGCGCTCTTCTTAGTGGCTTGTTTTTCCTGTTTGGGTAACGTATACGATGCCGTGTTTGGTGGTATGATTCATCATAGCTTCTTAACAAACGTGTTGAGTATTACTATGATGATTTGCACACAATGATGGAGAAGCTCGCACGTCTCTAACGGGTATTGGTCAATTGCTCGGCCACTGCTGCAGGACGACAACGCGCAACCTAATACTGCATAGTAGATGGTCTTCAAGTTACAAGAACTGGGGTTGGAAGCTTTTCCAGAATTTAGATAATTTTTTGACGGGAAGAAATCAATGCTCGAGGCGCAGTACAAAATGCCTTCAACTAATTAAAATATACACTGGCCTCCAAAAAAATCGACTCAACTCCGTTTTTTCGCAAAAAAGTGTCCTATGCGTTTTTACCACAATCGATAAATATTTTTTATCTTGATAACGTAACAATGCAATTATATGGTTTTAAAAGGCTAAAAATGGCGCGTCAAACAGGATATTTTACATACAAATGTGATGAGATACTGAAACCCTAACATATTACAAAATTTACGATTTTAATGCGAAGATAGATATTTACATTTTTTAACATTTAAGAAATGTTAACCTTACTCTAATATGGGGTGTTTCCTCCTTTTTATTTTATTACCGCCAGCTTACAAAGGGAACGGATCAACTTTTTTATGACTTCTTGAGGTGTCTGTTCCCATTCTTCTATTAAGTCAGCTTCCAGTTCATACAACGTCTCGGGAACTGGATTTCGGATTCTAACCTTTATTATTATCTGGTCACAGAAATGCTCGATGGGATTTAAGTCCGGAATATTAGCTGGCCACTGCATAACTAGAATTATTACCTCCTGAAGATATTCAGTTACAATTTTAGCAACGTGCGGTCTCAAGTTATCATGCATGAGTTGAAAGTTTTCCTCAATATACCCAGCGTAAGGCACCACATGAGTTTGCAAAATATCCTTAATGTGTCTTTCAGTATTAACCACACGATTGCGATAGAAAATCAATTCAGTACATCCGGTTAAAAATATGCCACCCCAAACATTGTAGAGCCTTCACCAAACCGGACAGTTTCTCTTTTGTGCAACACTTAGCATAACGTTCTCCTGGTATTCGCATAACGTTACAACGGCCATCAGAGACTACAAGGGTCATTTGGCTTTCATCGCTGAAGAGAACTGTCTCCCATTGACCAAGATTCCATTGCACGTGTTGCCTAGCACATTCTGACCTCGCTTGCCGATGAGATGCAGTGACTTTTGGTCCCGTCGCTAGCTTGTGTGGTGTCAAGTTTTGCTCCCGAAGTCTTCTTTTCACTGTGTTCTCACTTAAAAACACTCCACGAGTTTCCCTCAGCCTAACCAGAACATCAACAGCAGAAAGATGCCAAATACGCAAAGAAGTCAAGGTCACTCGTCGGGATTGTGAGACATCCTCTTCCAGATCCTTGTTTACGGCGATATTCTTTCTTCTCTAAGTATCGTTTATAAACTCTACGCACTGCTGACCGACTCAAAGAAGATGATCGAAAATTGTTTGAATCTGTGTCCCAGACTGTTTTAAAAGACTGACATTTAAAAGTAAAAATCTTCTATATAAAGAATTAGAAAAGTGCAGGTAGGTACGCAGTACAACAAAAGTGGACAAAAGTTACGAAGATTTGAAAAAGTTGATTTTGGCAGTCGGTTTTTTATCGTTATTACACAATGTAGATGTTAATAAAGTTCCAATTCATGAGTGTTATGTAGGTTAATGTAATGCATGATGATTAGGATGTATCTTTACTGGTTTAGCAAAAAAATAAAACAAGGACAGCAGTTTTTTTTTTCAGTCTTTGAAATTATTATTTGTAACTAGTTTTTGTAATATAACTATTATTGGTCGAAGTATATTAGACAGAAAATAATTAAACTTACGTATTACACCGTTTATAATTAGTGGAGAAATCGCGTGGGGCTACGGCACTTATTAAATAAAAGAAATATACGATAAAACACAAATACGAATGAAAAACATACTTATAATATATACCGAGAAACGGCGCGTGAGTTGGTAAACGTGAATCAGATCAAGTCTGACATTGACACTTTGAACGTTTTGATGCTTGACGGACGGATTCAGTGTTGCAAGTATTAAAGTAAAATAACCCTATCCTATAATGTAACGCTACATGTTTAAGCTGTTGCTGTATTAAACAAATAAATAAAGCTATCTTTTATCCTATCCTTAATTGTATTTTGATTATTTTGATGTATTCATTCATTAACCGAAGGCTTTTATACATAAATAAATAAATAAATAAAATAGCCTTTATTTCTACTACAATATAAACTTGACTTATAATTAATCTAGTTAGTAATAGTATAAAATAGTTAATATGTATTTTTTACGTATAATTATGTATATATTATCTGACTTAGTTAATTTTAGTAGTAGTCGCCTCTGCGGCGTAGGCCTCTCCTAAAACTTTCCACATATCTCTTTCCCGAGCCACTTGCATCCATAGGGATCCACATTTTTGATTAAAAATATCTCTCCACCTTTTACTTGGTCTCCCTTTTTTTCTTTTTCTGTCTCTTGGTATCCATTCTGTAAAACGTTTAGTCCATCTGTTATCATTCATTCTGCAGATGCGTCCTGCCCAGTGCCATTTCAGTATATTAAATAGTCATATTAACCCACTTACTCCTGAGCAAACTTTTTTCATAGCATTGAAATAAAATTTCATAGGATATGCAATTAGGCTACAAGTAATCTCAAAATTTTTTTAAAAGTAATCTCACTATCCCGTGAAAGCCGGAAAATGGTGTGTCTTAAATGACACAGTAGGAGAATCTACTACTACCAATCAATAGAAAAAGGAGTTATTTTGCAAAGGCAAAAATTTATAAAAATGATATTTCTCTGTTTCATTTATATAATATAACTTTATTATAATTATTTTTATAAAACAATTAAACTTAAAATTGAACAAAATTACTAATATTATATTATGTATTATTTCCTTGTATAATTGCCAAGCATTATCCAAGGTAATGAGTGATAAGTGGGAAATACCACTTCTTACCACGAATACTTGTCCTGTAAAGGCTAATATTTTGATCAGAACGATCAAAACCTCCCATATTTTCGTTATATGCTTTCATAACTGCAGTTTGATCCAATTTCACATATTTTTTTTTTGTTGCTGAGAAAATCTTTTGACTTTATTGACGGGTAATACTTTTATAGCATTGGAAGCCACGGTAACTACACTAGTATCATTCCACTTACAGACGACAATTTTTTCAGCTTTTGTAAATTTGTATTTGTACGTCCCACGGTTAGTTTTCTTGAGTTCATTGTTAGTGGGCAATGGGCATTTTGACACTCTATTCTCTCTTACGGTGCCTGTAGCTTTCAGACCGCGCCTCCGAAGTTCAACTAAAAGTGGGATAGATGTAAAAAAGTTGTCGAAGAACAGATGGAATGAGCTTCTGCTTATGAAGCTCATCAGCATACTGCAATACAAAACTGGCACCTAATCCGAGACTTTTGTATTTTGTATCGGAGCATCCTTGTGGTCCTTGATACGGTTGAATCCATAAAACGTAGCCCAGACGCGTTGCTCCAATCCAGAACTTATAGCCCCATCTAATGGGTTTGCCTCTTATAAACTGTTTACATGGATGCCCACCGTAATATGGGATCATAGCTTCGTCGATACTGTGACACTCTTGTAAAACACCATGCTTCAAAAAATTCGAGTTTAGCACATCAAAGAGACATTTTAACTTCGCCAATTTGTCTCTCTCATTGAGTTGCGAGTTGTTGCAACAATGTAAATGGGATACTATAAAATTAAACCTATCCCTTGCCATAGCTGATGAGACAAATGGTACACTGCAGTCTGGAGCATTTTCGCAGTACATACTTCGTCTAGGAACAACCACGCATCCACTATACAACAGTATTCCCAAAAAAACATTTCATCTCCCTTGCTGTCACGTTACCTTCTTTATTCTTCTTTGTAGCATATAAGTTAGTAAATTCCACAAGAATATTCAAACCAAGACGTCAAACATGCAATCAAAGTAATCAATGGGATTTTTATCACCGTACTGGTCAGGACGCTGTGGGTTATGCCAATCGCTGTGCGTAGGCTGAATATCTCTTGAACTACAAGTATATTTAGTATTTTTGAAGTTGATTATAGTTGGAAGCATTTGTTGAAGTAGATGGTACTGGTACAGCAGGTGAAACCGGATCATCTATTTGTCCTTGAAGAAGTGAGGCTTGGGATGTGGAAGCACATTCATTTACAAAATTTAGACGTCGCCGTTTGTTTATTTCGGCTAATGATAGATCATCATCACTCTCCCAATCATAACAGCTGTTGCCATACTGGACCTCAGCAGCAGCCCTTAGTTGAGATCCCGGCAAGTTTTGAAGTGACACCAAGTCTTCATCTCCAGAGTCTTCATCCGTTACCTCAGCATTACAATTTTCCGGTGGTATTATTGTAATAGATTCTGGGATGTCATCATCATCATTTTGCGCCAATTCCTCAATAATCTCATTTAGTGAAAGTTGCTTTCCAAACTTCCTGTAATCAAGACAAGTCACCTCAATAATAGTAGTTTATTTTCCTACTGTGTCTTTTACGGAACAAGAAAATGATTTGAAAAAATTAAAAATGAAATAACCTAAAATTATTTCATTTGTTTTACATTGAGTGACCTACGGGATCAAATATGATATATAGGTAAATACATTTGTGATATGCTGTATAAAAAAATATACACTTAACTTGAAGTAGAAATTGCAATATCATGAATATTTCAAGTTATTTTCCACAATAATTAAGAAGTGTAGCTCACAATCACTAATGCAAATTTAAAGAGCAGTTTCTCAAGAACCAATCGACGTAGAAGAAAAAAACAAAAACTACCCTCACATATTTTTTATTTTTCTTTGTGGGTGTGTCGTTTAAGATACAGAAGGAGAAAATGGATTAAATGGGATAACAAAGAGTCTAGATGAAAACCAACCGCGGGAACAGGTAGGTTTTCGCAAAAAGTTACTCAACTGTAGATCACATACAAGTTATAACGCAACTTATTGAAAAGGCAAAGGAATATAGGAAGACGTTATATATGTGTTTTATAGACTGCACAAAAGGATTCGATTCTTTACAATTCGAAGCCATATGGACATCACTTCTACAAGGTGTCAATCAGAAATATATTAATATAATCAAGAATATATATGTTAAATATATACAAAATGTCTCGCCAAAGTGCGCCTAGGACAGGAAGGTACAGACCCTCTCTCCCCGAAGTTATTTTCAGCGGTGCTCGAATCTATTTTCAGACGTCTAAATTAGGAAACGAAGGGAATACAGATAGATGGAGAACTATTGAAGCAATTGCGTTTCGCGGACGACATAGTGGTCTTCGCAGAAGGGGCTACTGAATTGGAGAATATGGTGTTCGTACTAGCAATGAAAAGTAAAAAGGTGGGACTGTCAATTAACATGACGAAAACCAAGATTTTTACCAACGGATTTTCTCAGGATATTAGAATAGCAAATGAAAAAATTGAATGTGTAAAAGAATATGTGTATTTAGGACAGCTAGTGTCATTCGTAATCAATATAGTAAAAGAAATAGAAAGAAGTATATATCTCTCATATACTCATATATATATGAGAATAGAGAACCGGAGGCCTTAAAGGAGGAACTTGGTTCGAGGAATTCCCTCTTAATCCACGAGGGTGGCAACGCATCTGCATTATCATTCTTCATCGGTAAAAAGTGTAAATTTTTATGGTCCACTTATCATCCAGTAGGCTGTATGATCGTTTGTGTTATAAAATAAAGTAAACCCTTTTATAAATTCAACTAAAAATGAAAATTGATATTATTCATAATATGTAGCACTGAAATTTTTCATATTTTTATGTTATATTTTATCTTATGAACAAATTTTATTTGATGTATAATAAATTAGGACCTACTCATGTTAAAGGACGCATTCAAAATAGTATTTTATTAAACTTCAATTAAAAAAATGCATAGGACGAGCCATACAAAGAAATACGATTCCTTTTAAAAAATTTCGAGGGCGTAAACAAATCACAAAAGAAATCATCAAATTGAAATTGCATGATTTATATAGAAGACTTATTATATTAAGAAGTTTTAGAATACCGATTATATAACAAAATATCTTTCAGAAGACCAAATATTTTACTAATTTTTAGATATTGTAACAATCCAAGGTTTAAAGTACATATACCGTTAACCTAAAAATAATTAATTTCCCTTAAGGGATATCTCTTATATCTCTAGCTTCTCTCCCTGTTTTTCTTTCCTGAAAAGAAATAGAAACGTCTTATCTTTATGCTTTCACCGCTTTGTTGTTTTGTTTTCAGTTGCCCTCTTTTTATGTTACAAACTCCCTATATTTGTTTTGTAAAGTGCGGATAAAAAATAGTCTATGAACACTGTCTTTGTGAAAGAAACTATAATAAACCTTTAAAGCGTTTGAGTAAAAGCACAACTTACTTTTACGACTTTCATCATCATTATCATCATTACTATTTCACTGCTGAATATAGGCCTTCCTCAAAGAATTCCACAAAGCTCGTTCCTAAGCCAACTGCATCCATTGACCTCATGCATATTCTACCAGGTCGTTACTTCATATAGTTGAGGTTACTCTAAGCTTTGTCTACCGGTACAAGTACAAGGCTGCCATTTGAAAACCTTTTTTCCTTATCCGATGTCGGTTCTTCGAGCTATATAGCCGACCTATTGCCACTTCTGCTTACTAATCTATTGAGCTATGTCAGTTACTCTGATTCTACTGTGAATAATCTCTATTTACGTCTATCAAGCAAAAAAATCTAGGCATAAACCTCTCCATAGCTCGCTTGGCAACTGAGTTTTCTCATACGTCTAGCGAAGATGGATCATATCTCTAATTCATAAGTCATCACACGCACAACAACACAACAAATCAAACACAACTTATTTTTAAGTCACGATGATTCGTACGCTTTGTAACTTATGCGCAGCAGTGGGACATGCTGTAACTTTATAACCTGCTCGCATAATATTTTCTTTAAACATTTTTATGTTAACCCTTAAATAGACCCGGTATGTAACATGGCAAGATATCAAAACGGATATAAGTAGTATCCCAGTTCTTCATTTTGTAGACATAAGAATAACGTGCTGGATGGTGGATTGCCTATGGTAAGGGCATATAGAATTTTCTCCCAAGAGTGTCGTAAGCGGCGAAAATGGGATATTCCAGAAATATCAAATGGCTTCCTGTAATTTCAAGAGTCTTATTACTAATATTTGTCGAGTTTTCCCTTTATTATTCATAGACACTTGTGTGGGAATAACTCGCTACTTCCCTTACGTTTGGTTCAAAAGACTATGAAAACTATACTATATCTAAAACGTGAATGGTGTGTGTGTGCGTTTGTGTATGTGTTTGTGTGTGTGAGTACGCGTGTGTCGGTCACATGTAAGCCTTAAGAATAAGGTTTCTTGAGATCGGTATGAGTATTCCGCATACAGGTACCGACACTAAGTTTAACCGAAATTTTAACTAATTCTTATTAAGGAAAAGGGTCACAGCAGGACTGCAAAAACTACCGTGGTATCAGCTTGCTTAGTATTGTGGGTAAACTGTATGCTAAGGTGTTAATTGTAAGAGTTATGAAAGAAACTGATGGAAAAGTTTGGGATGTGCAAGCGGGTTTTAGGAAGGGAATGGGGTGTACAGATCAAGTCTTTTTCATGCGCATGATTGCGGAGAAGTTTTTGGCTAAAAACCAGAAAGTTTTTTGTGCGTTCATGGACTTGGAAAAGGCTTATGACAGAGTGGACAGGAATGTGTTATGGCAAACACTGAACTCAAATGGGTTGAGCGCTGGTTTGATACAGGCGTTGAGGTCTCTTTATAGGGATTCTAGTGCTTGTGTCAGGATCAATGGGGTCTACTCGGACTGGTTTGGCATCCGAAAGGGTGTCAGACAGGGCTGTGTGGCTTCCCCTTGGCTGTTCAACCTATTTATGGACGGGTGTTAGCAAACTTTGAAAGATGAAGAATGTGGGTTAAGAATGGGCGAGTTAACCGTCAAATGCCTTTTGTATGCCGATGATCAAGTCATATTTGCGTCATCGGCGGCTGAGTTGCAAATGATGGTTACATTAATGAACTGGGCATTAAAAGAAAGGGGAATGAAAGTGAACGCAAGTAAGACGAAAGTGATGGTTTTTGAAAGAGAGGAAAGCAAAACGGTATGTGAAATAAGAATAGAAGGAGAGTTAATTGAGCAAGTGGATGAGTTTGTGTATTTGGGATGTGTATTTAGCAGGGATGGTAGATATGATAAGGATATAGAACGACGAGTAAATGCAGGGAATAGAGTGAATGGGGCACTACACTCTATTGTGAAGAACCAGAATGTATCAAAAAAGGCACGTATGGTAATTCATAATGCTGTGTTAGTCCCTACTTTAATGTATGGTAGTGAAAGTTGGGTGTGGCAGAAGAAGCACGAAAGTAGAATAAATGCTGTAGAAATGCGGTCTTGAGTATGCTAGGGTTGAATCTGAATGACAGGATGAGAAATTGCATGATAAGAGATAAATGTGGTATGCAAGATGATGTTGTGACCAGGAATGAGAAAGGAATGCTTCGGTGGTTTGGTCATGTAGAAAGAATGAATGAGGAAAGAGTGACAAAACAAATTTATATGGCAGATGTGAACGGCAGAGTCGGGAAGGGACGCCCTAGAAAAAAGTTTATCGACCAAATTGGCGATATTTTGAAAATGGTCCACGTTAAAAGTACTCTTAACCGACGAGCATGTATGTGTAGATATGATGTAAAGGAGGCGAAAGAGGTATGTCAGGATCGTGTCAAATGGAAGTCCGTGGTCTCTGCCTACCCCTCTGGGTGACAGGCGTGAGTGTTTATGCTTATGCTATGCTTCTTATTAAATGTTTTTTAAAATATTCATAATCGAGTCCGACCATTCTATAAAAGTTTTCCTTCAGTGTGTAAGATAACATGGGATATATTTTAAGTATTTTAATTACTTTATTGTATAAATAGGTAGACTGACCACTATACTTTCTTCTGCACTACGTGCAGCAGTGACAGAGTCAACTAAATCTTTCTTTATTTTATGACTCAGGTCAATATAAGGCAGAGATGATGCTCTCAACTTCTTTATCGTCAGTGTTTAGCAGGACGAAGGATGAAGTCTGTGTATAGTTAGAGGTAGGGGCTACTAGTACACAACTTTTAGTACCTGAATTTGAAGCAATTATTACAGTTGACATAGTAAACCGAATCTAGTGGTAAAGGTTTTAAGTTAATTAGTGCTACATTGTTCGACTTGAGTGGTTTGTACTAAGTGATCTCATTTACTGTTTTATAGAATTCACTTAGGTTATTAGCAGATTTATTACTAAGTTCTCCATGATGTTGTCGTTTAAGATTTTTGATAAGGTTCAAACTGAAACTTCGAAAACTTTTGTATGTTATTTTTAAAAATGTATTACGGGGGTCCTTCAC